ACGATCACCAAATCAGCTGGATTGAGGGTGCCAACGGTGAAGACGGGCTTCTATTGGAGCGAGGCGCATCAGGCAAGGATTTCCTCGTCGTTGAAGATGTCCAGAGTCGGAATAGCGACCATGTTGCTGCTGGTGCTGAGATCACAGCTTCCAAGACACTGATGCAGAAGGCCCTATTCGAGGCTGCCGGTCGGACCTTGTCCCCCGAAGAGCTCTGGCCCAGTCCTGATCTGAAGAAAGTTCTTATCGCGACTGGCATCGCGAATGTTTGGAGGTATTCGTTCACGGCGACCTACTGGATATTTGATGTCGAAACTCAATCCGCCGAACCTCTAGACCCTAACAACGTGAACCGCAGGGTTCAATTGGCACAATGGAGCCCCAAGAGCGATGCCATCTCCTTCACCAGCTCAAATAACCTATACATTCGACAACTTGAAAGCAAAAAAGTGGTGCAGGTCACCAAGGACGGTGGTCCGGAATATTTCTATGGAATTCCAGATTGGGTATACGAAGAGGAAGTTTTCGGTGATAACAGTGCCACTTGGTGGTCCGACGACGGAGAATTTATGGCCTTCCTGCGGACGAACGAGACACTTGTACCGGAATATCCCATTCAATTTTTCATTGACAGGCCGAGTGGAGAGCAACCTCCCCCAGGCCACGAAACCTACCCAGAGGTTCAACAGCTCAAGTATCCGAAAGCGGGATCACCGAATCCTTTTGTTGATCTCCTTTTCTACGATATAGCCAAGGGTGACACATTTTCTGTAGAGATTGAGGGGGGGTTTATTCAAGATGATCTCCTCATCACTGATATTACATGGGCAGGGAATAAAGTACTCATCAAGGAAACGAACCGCGTTAGCGACGTCATGCGTGTCGTCCTCGTAGACATTATTGCACGGGTAGGAAAAACCGTAAGGACCGTTGATGTGGGTGAAATTGATGGAGGTTGGTTCGAGATCTCCCATGACACTACCTATATACCAGCCGACCCCGAAAACGGCAGACCGGAAGATGGATATCTTGACACTGTTATTCATGATGATGGCGACCACCTTGCATATTTCAGTCCTCTCGACGCGAGCGAGCCTGTCATGTTAACGTCGGGTAGTTGGGAGGTTGTAGGTGGACCATCAGCTGTGGATCTGAGAAACAACGTGGCGTATTTTACTGCCACTAAAGAATCCTCAATTCAACGGCATATCTACAGCGTTAAATTCGACGGCTCAGATCTCAAAGCCATCACTGATACTAGTAAGGAAGGCTACTATAGCGCCTCGTTCTCGCGCAAAGCAGGCTACGCTCTTATCACCTACCAAGGACCAAATGTGCCTGCCCAGAAGGTAATCAATACCCCGAGCAACCCTAAACCGTTTGAACACATCGTCGAGCAAAACAAGGACTTGGCGGACAAAGCAAAGCAACATGAGTTTCCGCTACTCAAGTATGGAACGATCACCGTCGATGACGTTGAGTTGAACTACGTTGAACGGCGTCCGCCCCATTTCAATCCCAATAAGAAATATCCCGTACTGTTCCAGCAATACTCCGGCCCCGGCTCGCAGTCCGTTAATAAAAGATTCACGGTTGACTTCCAATCTTACGTCGCGGCCAATTTAGGATATGTTGTAGTGACCGTCGATGGTCGAGGCACGGGCTTCATTGGGCGCAAAGCGCGGGTCATTGTTCGCAAGAACCTGGGCAAGTGGGAGGCCCACGATCAGATTGCGGCGGCCAAGATTTGGGCTGCGAAGCCATACACCGATGAGACACGAATAGCCATCTGGGGCTGGTCGTATGGCGGATTCCAGACTCTTAAGACGCTCGAGCAAGACGCTGGTCAGACATTTAAATACGGCATGGCAGTTGCGCCCGTCACTGATTGGCGATTCTACGATAGCATCTACACCGAACGATACATGTTAACGCCGCAACAGAACGAGGATGGGTACGATGCGACAGCCGTAAACAACGTATCTGCACTGGCTGGCAATGCACGCTTTCTCATCATGCATGGTGTCGCCGACGATAATGTCCACATGCAAAATACCCTTACTCTGCTTGATAAGCTAGACCTGGGAGGTGTTGAAAATTACGATCTACACATGTTCCCTGATAGCAACCACGGTATATACTTTCACAACGCGAACCGTGTTGTATATGACAGTAAGCCTACCCTTTCCATTACGCACGATATAAGCCTGCATGTGCCGGCTTGATTCCATCGAACAGGTGCTGACAACATGTAGAATTGAGTAATTGGCTTATTAATGCCTTCAACGGGGAATGGTTGAAGGTCGCAAACGCAAAGCCAGTACAGCTCGTATCTTCCAAGGAAAAAGAGAAGAGGAGCGGCGTCGAAGAGCTCAAAGCAGGAGTTGAGGAGGTACGCAGAGGATTAGGTTTTGATACGGAAGGCAGTCGCATACTTTCATTGCGAGGGTTATCCAAGGCGCATTAAGCAACACATGAGCTAGTTAACCAGTCCGGGACCTAGAAGGACGCAATGAGGAACCAGGCATTCAAGTCTTGGCGTTCACTTTTGCGTATGGCCATTTTTGTAAAGCTGTTGTTTTGTACGCCGTTAGTGGCGGCTATACCGTATAGACGAAACATATTCTTGGTCCTTACGGACACCGCATCATCCCCGGCGGATGCGGGGCTGGTCGATGCATGAGTAAGCTGCATAATATCACTTAAAGCAAAAGAACATGAGTCTTCACATTATCCACCTACCCGTATTAAAACACGCAATGTAAGGCCCCGAACAGCACCATGACCCCTGCCACGGAAGTCGTACTATTGACGTTGACGCCCAATGCGGACTACAGTCTCATCACCAAGTCAGCCCAGATCCTAGCCCGGCAGCCCGGCTGTCTGGCGGTCCGGACTTCTCGCCTGCACCAAGAGCTCGATAAGGTCCACTACTTCATCGACTGGGACTCAGTCGACTCGCATTTAGCCTTTGCCCGCAACAAGGACGTGTACGTGCCCTTCCGCGAACTCGTCGGCTCCGTTATGGCGGGCTATGCACCGCCTTACCATGTCTCGCCGTCGCCTTGCCTGTCGGCCGTCTTCGATGGGGACGAGATGCGGAACGGGGTTGTAATGGTTGGGAAAGCATGGTTTCCTGGTGGTGCGGAGTTCACGTCTGAGCAGATGGAGGACGTGGCTGAGGCTTTTAGGACGTTTACTAAGGCTTTGGGGGATAGAGGGTTTGCAGGTTTCACCGGACACGTTGCGGGGGGTTGGTCTTTGGAGGATGGAATTCCGTATAAGGGGAGAAAGAGTCGGGTTTTCATCTACGCTGTTAGGTGGCAGAGTACCGAGACATACCTGAGGTTTCGGGATTCGGAGGATTTTAGGACAATCAGTTCCTCGATTGCCGGCTCGGGGGGATTAAGGGAGCTGGAGATCTGTCTTGTTAACACGAGGGATATAGATGCCACTACTTAGGGTACGGCGAATGGGCATTTCTCTGCCTACTACAAGCTCTTCGGTGATATTTATCGGAAATATGACGGGATTTATGCTTCTATTTCAGTAGGATGGGTTTCTATATGAATACTTTACAACGGCCCTAAAGTAAGGATCTTACCTGCTTTAACAATGACTTGTTGTTAAACTCCTGTCTTTCGAAATATCTCGGCCCGATCGCATGTTTAGGGTCGATGGAATTTTATGTTGCATAGCAAACCGACTAAAATCTACTGTTGCCCTTTCAATATAAAACCAAGCATTGCTTTAATATTCAACTTTCTTAGTTGAATCCAATTTGACTCTGCATTAGGTGAAACCCACCGTGCAATAACCAATGCCTCTCGATTCAAAGTCATTTTGATGTGCGGTCCTCGCGCTGTACATACGATCACAAAATCATTTACCGATCTAAAACGCTTCACTCTAGAACTTCGAGGCATGCGGTTTTCCTTATAGGTTAAGGGGCACCTTGAGCGCTTGTTCATACAGGCAGACACCTGAGCTTCCGTTAGATCACTGGGCAATATCGGGTAACTACACCGCCAGGCTTAGTGAGGCAATCAAATGTTCTGTATTGGTAACAGGGCTCCCTAACATTAGAGCTTATTCCATCGAGTCTGTCTCCGTTCTTGGAGGTATTCTACGAATCATTTCATTAGAAAGGTCTGGTCGGTCGATAACCTCAAAAGATTTAGTGTCGCGGAGATGTGGACCCTATAGTCACGTGATCCACACCGCTATATAAGGTGATCTGCTCAAATAGACTGACGGAGATCACACACATCCATAGACCACTTAATAGAGCATTATTCGTACCCTGTAAGAAGCGCTACTCCGTCACATTTAGACAGTTCGACCAGACTATGGCTAGGCAGAAAAGGCTTTAGCAAAATAGAAGATATCGAAAGGCTAGAACGGATGGCTGGTTCTATCTCACGCGGTCTACTTATGCTTCTCAACGCTCTCCCAAGGCATCCATCCACCCGAAAAGACATTCCTCCATCCACTAGGGGGTAGCATACGGGGATGTGGCCGGGGAAATGTGGTCGCCTGTAAGCCCAATGCGTGGGTATATAGATAGATAGATACCTTACCAGCCTCCTATTCAATTCAATATGGGGCACTATTAAAGAGATACAGGTAGCCAGGGATGGAGTGCTCCCTCCATACGATACCTATTGCGTAGCAATCGCCATGAGATCTTGTTTCCATCCATTATATATACCTAGGTATATATATATATATATATATATATATATATGGTGAGGAACGGGGAAAAAAAAAGATTGAAGCTGGCCCGATTTGAACGGACAACCTTCGGGACTGGAATCCGACGCGCTACCGTTGCGCCACAGCTCCATATACGAGCCGACCAATAGGTTAGTTAATACATAAAGCGTTGATTGGGCGGTAGGTAGAAAGCGAAGGAACAAAAAAGACATCCATTCAATAACAGGAAAAAGAAAAAAGCTAGGATTGCCATCCCTTGCGTAGTATATAGCAACATATCAAATTGAACCCAACCCGATTTGAACGGATGACCTTCTGGAGGCAGTTAATATTTACTTTACTGGAATCAGATGCTCTACCGCTGAGCTATGGGTCCAGTGTTGACAGGCTGATCGTTAATTACATTCTAAGTCATTAAGCCATGAAGATCAGTGGAGGGAGAAAACTTGGCTCGGTAGGGAAATACTGAAATACTGAAACACTGAGCATTAGACTCGTTTAGGCTTTCCCGGAAAAGGCGGCCAGAAGCGGCAGAGCCCGTTGAACCCTGGTAACACTTAAAACATCGCAGCCGAAGATCGGCCTGCTACATGTTTGAACTACTCAGTTCGCTTGCTCAATGAGATACCCAGACCTAATTTTATTTTCCCTGGCGGCGAGAGAAAGTATTTCCTATGCATACAACAGTTTACCCGTCTATAGCTATCAATATGCGCTCGCACTAATGCATCATTCCTGTTTGCAATGTAGTATAAAGAAATAGTAAGAATATACATCATTGAATTAACTATAATTCATCATAATTGTTAAATAATGCCATATAGCGATACTTTTATTCTGCTCCCACTGTCTTTCACTTTCCGACTTTGAGGATGAGATGATCTAAGCCCGGGGAATATATTGATTTCATGCACCGTACATGTAGTCGTCTACAATCCCATTGATAGCGTCGTCAGTTTCGTTGCTAGAATACTTGTAGTTAATATAATCCCCGGCGGCTTTTTGCCTAACATTTCCCTCAACTATTTCCAGCAGATCCTCTATATCCGGTCGGTCTTCTACTCTAACGGCAACGCACAAGGCAACTAGACTCCTGATACTTGGGTCCAGATTGTCTATTCTATCTTTATGTTTACCTACCATGAGTGATGGAGCTTTGTACTTGCTGCTCAGCCCGTCCAGGTCCGTTGCGTAGGAATTGATCGTCCTTGTCTCTCCTTTATATGTGATTTCCATCATTCCTGGTCCCCCTCTTACATTGCCCCTCAGTAAACCGAGCATCACTTCACCGATAGCTCGAATGTTCGTTTTCACGGCAATATCTTTTGGCTCACTATAAATCTTTAGTTATTATTTTTTATAAAAGAAAAAACATTGACACAGTACCGAGAAATGCTCACTTCTGCCGGACAGGTAGGTCTCGAGACATGCCAAAATCTATTAGCTTTAGCACTGGGATGAATTTGTGCTCTTTGGGTTCTAGCTTATCAATCATGACTAGACAAAACTATGTCAGCATTTCCTTTCGCACGTCACTCCGTGACTTACTATTCTGGCCGTGGAAATCACCATGGAGTAAGCGGGACTTCGGAGGTCGTTCGCCTTTCTCGTTAGATGGTGGTATGACTTCTAGTCCGGGCTCACCACTCGCTCTTTTTCCAAGGTCCCGTGGTGGCCAAGCTAACCCGACAACCATCCTACACACTAAAAACTTCAAATTAACTTCAACATAGTACTAAATCGTTATTTAGCTTCTTACAGCATAAAAACAGAGACCAAAGCAGCCGATTGGGTAATGGTTCATCTACTTCGGATCTTCTTTCGTAGAAAGTCCACAGAAGGCCATTCTCGATCCAATCCATAAGCAACGTAGGGCCTTTCAGAGGCTTCGATATATTCTTCCACCTAGGGTCTTCAAGGACGTGAGATGGCTGTGCAAAGTGCATAGATCCGCGAAGCCGCTACGCACGGGATCAGCCTACGTGACAGCGTACGAGAACACCTAGTTGGCACCCAGTCCTTACGTACGTCGAGGGCATCAACCTCCATCGTTATGTTTTTCTCTCCCACCTCGGCCAATGACCGCTTCAAGACAAACCTAGTTATGTTTCTTGACATCCTCGGTGACTGCCCCAAGGACGGGCCGCCAAACGACAATCGGGACAACTGATCTGTTAAATCTACCCCGGCGGGTCTAAATCCCCGATCCATAGGATTTGCTAAAGACTGAGACGAGGGCTCATTAGGGGTAAATGACAGTGGCCGAAGTCCAGGTGCTTGATTCAAAAAGCTCGTCGAGGCGGTTTCATTCGAGCTCATCGTCATCTGGAGGGTAAAACCCCACTGCAATACTCAGGATCAGGATCAGTACCCGCCATTCTGAGAACGCGATTTACGATTGTGATGAAATGAAAACCTTTAAAACATGAATTTGAGCATGGCAGAGGACCTTCTATGCCCTTGAAAATGACTCGGAACATTACCTACTGATCCCTGGCCTATGATGCGCTCGACGGTAAAACTCCTGTCAGGTGCTTTTTCAAAAAATTGCTTGACATACTGTGCCCCGACTACTACTTGCTCCGACACCTTGGACTCGCCTTCAATTGGACTTTTCGACATTGTATTGCTTGATGTGGAGATGGGATGCCGGATATTGCGGCTGCTTCTATTGAACATATGCCGTTTAGCGAATTTCACAAGATTTAATATTCACCCAATTGGCGCGTCTTGACCAAGAGCTATACGCTGGCGAGAATGTAGAATCAATACCGTTGATAGTAAGGTCTCCTTTATTGCCGGACAATAGATACATGTGGTCGTTTTCAGCATAGGTTAGCCTTTGACTCTTTGTTCACATGTTGATATGTATATTATCAGACAGGTGGTTAACCATGATTCCGTGAAAGCCCCTGTATTTCCTTGGCGATTTTAAAAATAGAAATGCGATGATGATTCACTATTATAACTCTAGTCAAGCCGCCGCGTAACGTGGAGACGACGACGCTTAATAGGGCAATAGCTATACAACATTCCTGTTTATAAAGCAGAGTTGTTTATATATATTCGATTGTAGAGTTAATTTTATCTATTACTCTGTTCAACTTGCGGTCTTATATTATAGATATTACCGGTTAAATTGCCAGGTAACGAATTATTGTATACTTGTTGTTAAGCCTAATACCAACTCAACTAGTAACTTCTTCTATAAACAAGGCACCATATTTTTTCTAGAACGTGTGACAACCAGTTTGACACTCAGTGAAGTTCCCTGCCATCAGCCCAAATTCGATTGCTCCGCCGTCTCACTCTGCAACATACGAGGTCGGCAGGCGAGATCAGGGAACCCTACTATTATTCTATTTGATAGTCGAAGTTGGCTCAATGCCGTGAAAATAGATAAATTTAGTATGGGGGCTATTGGCACGATGTATTATATCAGGGGTACTGTTGGGGTTGCATTCTAACTTAGCTTGGGAAGCCCATATAAATCACATTAACAAACTGCCAACGTTAATGCAAGAATTCAACTGAGCTTCTCCTATGATGTAGCTAACGTAGTCCTTAGAAGAAGTATCGTTTTTGAATAGTTTTAACCCGGTCTGGATACAGTTAACAACACACAGAGTTACTTAACCACTTTCTAAGAAAGAAAAAAAAAAAATCACCGGTTATTATGTTGCTAAGCAAGACTAGTTATTTTGTAAATCGACATTAGCTAACATGCATAAAAATGCGAATTTAACAACACTGGGGACCTGGTTCACCCAAACCCACACCGATAAGCAAGACATTATTGGGAAAGTGTTGTGCGTGAATTGCCTTGATCTCGTTCCAATCGGCCGCGGTATCGCTATGAAAAGGTCGGGCACCAGCGTGATCGGGGAAATGTAGATGGTAGCCTCCATGAGAACTTGCTAGAGCAAGCCCACGATATGCAGGATTCGGTATAGGTGGGAGTAATGTTGGAGGAGTGTCATTGACCTGGCATTCGCCTAGGAATGCTACAGCTGCGCTTGAAAGGGATTTTAAATTAGGGGCTGCTAAGGATTCGCGACCGACATTCAAATTTTCACAATTGAAGAAACGCACAAATACTTGAGCATCATTAACCTGGATTGAGATAGTAGGATTATTTAGGCGGTCTCTTTGAGCAAAGTGGTCAGGAGATCCGTAAGCCGTTGCGTGAAGGCCTCGAGTACCTCGGGCCTGGCTCGCGGGTTTCAAGGGTTTCAAAGGCTCCTCGCGCTGCTCTTGGCTTGAATGTCCATGTTCACTACCACTACTACTACTACGGCTTTGGGGTTTGCTTTTTGAATTAGATGACCGATTAGTTGACTTACCCCGGAACAATTGTTTTACGGAATCAAAGCCGGAGCGGACTCCTCTCTTACTAGTGTCAGAAGAATGCATCTTTATGTTTTCGGGGTGTGTATCTAATAGGGTTCAAAATTGTATGGCGGAGGCTTGATTGAGAATACAGCTTATTTATAATAGCTTATGGGCCACTAAACAGCTACAAGTGTTTTCTTTATGTGAATTGATCAAAGGCATTGTTTTAGCCGAGAGACCTCCGCGTATGAGCCTGAGAATTCCAGAATACCTCACAGCCACATTGCCTGGTAGTACTTATTACAGTTCCCTTTTTGGCTCCTAGGTGAGTAAATGTGAAACAATCTGAAAGAGGTAATAAAGATGCTGTTACCGCATGCGCTACATACCCTAAAGGAATAGGCAGGAGTCTTGAGAGCGAATAAAAGATTGCTGATTATTATTATCAATTGCCTGTGTTGCGCTAGTTACGTCTATAATTGAGAGGCTCAGGCGATCATAGTAAGGTAGCACAATAAAGGCATCACAACATGTTCAAAGCATCTGAAAATTTGGTCATTGAGCAAGAAACACAATATTTGTGTGCCATATTTCGCTTTCTAGACGACTTCGGGGATTCAGACAACACGGTCTGAAATTATATTGCTTTGGGTAGGCATAAAAGTAAACACCGCCGCAGTCATTGCATTTCGTTGCGGGCATAAACCAAATCCAACATCCGTATCATCAAGTCTTCGATATTAACCCCTCTATTCCTCAGAATGTCAGTAAACACATTCCCTAACCTAGAGCTCCCGACCTTTGGCGTCGAGGTCGAATTCATGATTGCTACCCTCCCAGAAGATGATGAAATTATCGACCCCGACGAGAACGGGCTGCCACCGATTTTACGAATCCCCAAGCGTAGTAACAATCTTCAAACGATTAAGTATACCCTTGGAAAAGTCAAAGGAGTGTTGGATGAATGCTTCGGCGTTCTTCCGCCTCTTTCTGCACTTAAAGTTGATACCAAAGCCATCCTAGACAAGTATCGAGACTGGAACG